TGCCGTGTGAGCGAGATAGTTTATCAAAAAAATAGTTTGTTTATCTTATCAATAAGTGAAAGCCAGGCTATTAGTTGTTTAGTTCTGGGGCAGTCCAAAGTTGCACAACAATTTCCTACTGCTTGGAAATTTGGTCCCCACACCCCCACAATATGCAAGGGTTGATTATAATGAAAGGGCTCTAACATTGATTTGATGGCGTGAAATACTGTTCTCTCATAAAATATTATGCTTTGGAAGGAGTTGCTCCTTTTGTTTTGTGCATATAAACTGGCATTACCAAACAAAGTGCTCCTTCTAGGATGTGGTACTAAGGCTATGGGCAGAACTCTTTTCAGATCTACCTCTCTCCATTGTTCTAGCTCTAGAAGTGAATAAAGTGTGTCTGTACACCAGAATGGGGCTGTACATCAGAATGGGTCATGAAGAGGCACCATCAGTATGATAGTATTCTTTTTTTTTACCTGTTTTTTCATCTTATCCCCCAGACATTTGGTGTTTTATTTTGGGGTGCTTTCTTACTCAGTGTGTATGTTTCACATATGCAACAAAGAAGTAACCAGAAGCAAATACATACCTTGAGACTTCCGAGATCAAAAAGAAGAAATCAACTTATTGGAAAAATTCACCAGTCGAACAGATAATGGGACATACTCTAGTTAATACCAAATATACCAAACAATGTATTGTGTTGTGTAAATTAACACTTGAACACAGAAGAAATTCAACCATTATTTCCTTAGGACCGAAAAACGGTTCATCTGTCCTCCACGTTAAACTTCCCGGGAAAATTAATGCACTTATATGACTGAAATTTAAGAAATTTAAGAAATCAGTCTGAGAACTCAAGGAAATAGATTTTACCCCTAATTTTTCTACCTTCCTCTGCAGTGTCAGCATATTTTATTTATGAATGAGAGGAAGATTGGTTTATAACATGTTTTCCCCCCACCTTGTGGATTGCACACAGATTTTAATGATAAAAAGTATTCGGGATGGAAAGACATTTCAGATGTTACGGTACGTGCCTTGCATCAACCAACTCTGGTTTGAATCCTAAAATCATATGCTCCCCGATATCACTAGGTATAGTCCTAGAGACTTCCTGAGCACCACTGAGGTAGGCTAAGTAATTTCCAGTAGCAACACCACAGGGACAAGCAGCAATGCTTCCTCTGGTTGTATACTGAACCGCTGACCTCGTTTACCAAGCATTGCTAGGAGTGGTCCCTGGGGCCTCTGAGCAATGCTTGGAAGGTCCACACTGCCTCCTGAAAAGATGTCTGATGCTAATATTATAACATTATTATTTCCTTTTATTCATGCATATCAAAAGGAGATGACAAGAACATTCCTTATGAATTCCAGAAGAATTTTTAAAAAATTTTTATTAGTGAAACACCATGAGGTACAGTTGTAGAGTTACAAATTTTTTGCTTGGGTTTAAGTTATACAATGATTGAGTACCCATCCCTCCACCGGTGCCCATTCCCCAACTCCAATGCTCCCAGCATCCCTTCCACCCCTGCACTCCCCATTCCATCCCACCCCTGTGGCAGGGCATTTACTTTTGTTCTCTCTCTCCTTTTTGGTGCTGTGGTTTGCAAAAGAGGCATTGAGTGGCTATCATGTTCGGTCTATAGTCTATTTTCAGCATGCATCTCTCATCCTGGGAGGGTCCTCCCAACACCCTTTACTTGGTGCTCCCCTCTCTATCTGAGCTGTCTTCTCCCTCAGCATGTACGGCTGGCCTCCAAGCCATGGAGTGAACCTCCTAGTACTTTTCTCGGCTATTCTTGGGTGTTAGTCTCCCAATTTGTTACTTTATATTCCCCAGATGAATGCAATCTTTCTATGTCTGTCCCTCTATTTCTAACTCATTTCCCTTAGCATGGTACTTTCCATGTAGTACCACTTGTATGTAAATTTCATGACTTCATATTTTCTAACAGCTGCATGAAGAATTTTTAACTGATCAAATGTTTTCATTTGGTTTTTGATCAGTACTTAAGGGTAGATATTAACGTATGGCTAAATGTATTTAATTTTTTAAGGATACAATACAAATTCCATAGTAACTTCATATGCAATAATGTCTAAGTTCTCTGTTCCCACGGATATTTTTAGGTCTTTAGGGAAAATATAATTCTATCCTCTTTCTTAGCCTCGATATGTCCCATTAAACTTTCCAGTCTTGTCAGACTCTTTCACCAGAAGAGTGAGACTCCTTTCACTGGCAGAGGAAGAGAGAAAGAAAATCTGGCTGTGAAGAAAGAGAAGAATAGGTTTTAGCTCCTAATTTCAAACTCTAAAACTTTGAGAAAATTCTTGGACTGTCCAAAGAACTCCCTTTGTTCGTCTCTTTCATAGAGAATGAAAGGAGGCTAGATGCTTTCTAATGACCCTTTCAATGCCATTGTTCTATGAAGCTCTAATATTCCAGGCATATTCTGCTTACTTCTACGGGGAAGCTCTGACAATAGATCGTGTAATGGAATTTGAAGGGAATCTTTCCTGTGAACTTCAGAGAATTTGGAAAATATGAGTCATATAGCAAACTCTTCCAGTCCCAAATTTGTAGGAAGGAAATAAAAACTGGAGTTTGGGGCACATGACTCTCAAAGCAAATTGAGTTATTTGCTTTGAGTTATTTTAGAGTTAGTAGCATTATTTCCATTTTTTGATTAATGATATTGAATAGAAGCTATAAATGTGACCAACAGTTTGGTGCTTCATTATCAGGTTAGAATTAGAATAACTTAACATTAGATATCAAATGTGATTTTTATAATGAGAGCTCTCTTTATATGATATTCTAACTTGTCATTTCATATTTGCATTTAGAATGGGGATACCCTCCAGTTTAATGGACTGACTGACTCTGTCACCATGAAAGTTAAGATCAAGGTCAAGGTTTAATAATGTTAGTCTCACTCTATCCCAAAGTCCCCACTACAAATTTAACCCTCCTGGTTTTTGTTAAAAAAATGTGTGAAAACTGTACCAGATGGTGTGCAAAACCATCATTTCTACAGTAAAATCAATTCACGAGTTTGCTCAGTAACAGTAGGGTGCACAGGTATCTATGGTGGTTCCAGGACATATGGTATCAAGGTTGTCCTGGAGATTGAGTCACTAAGTTTAGTTTAATGTTGAACTATTCAAAGAGGACTTAGTTCTATGTTAGCACCATAGGAGGAAGTTATTAAATTCACCACAAGGAGAATTCTGTACTCTCTTAATGTTCAAGATTATCATTGAACCTGGAGTGCTCTACAGTCAATGGCACAGAAACTATTTGTAAACTATTTATCCTACTTTTAGTTCTTTAGATTTCATTTACTAACACATATTTATTCTTAGAAAAGTGAAAACTAAAAAAAACAGACACCTTTTCTATTTCATTCTATAGTGTGTAAGAAAGCTAGAATGCATGGGATTTTGTGCTCATTCAATGAATTAAATTCTGAGACTGTAGTACTGTTCTCCCGTTGTTCATTGATTTGCTTGAGCGGACACCAGTAACATCTCCATTGTGAGACTTGTTGTTGCTGTTTTTGGCATATCAAATACATCACGGGTAGCTTGCCAGGCTTTGCCGTGTGGGCAGGATACTCTCAGTAGCTTGCCAGGCTCTCCGAGAGGGGCAGTGGAATTGAACCTGGATCAGCTGTGTGCAAGGCAAACACCCTACCCGCTGTGCTATCGCTCCAGCCCAATTCTGAGACAAAACATCAAAAATTTTAGGTCCTCTCCATCCTAATACACTAATTTCCCAAAATGCTTCAGTAGGTACCTGAACGATAATAGGGTGTTTGCCTTGCATGCAGCAGACCCCCCAGCATCCCATATGGTTTCTTAAGCCTGTCAGGATTGATCCCTGAGCACAGACCCAGTAAGCCCTGAGCACTTCCAGATATAGTCCCCAAATAACCCCTCCAAAAACCAAAAATGTTCTTCCATACATTCTAGAACACATATTTTGTCTATTTCTGAACCTCTACCATACCATAGGTATGCATCACAGTAAGAGATTGAATTGAAAAAAGCAATGTGTACACAGTAAAAGCTTTGAAGATATTTTCTTTTTATTTCAAAAGATGAAAATAACTCAAACTTTGAGCCTTATGATCAAACTATATTTGAACCAAATGCTTAGAACACGAGCCAGGCCACCATTTGGGCAGTAAGCTTCACATGGAATAGTGGATGTATAGAACAATACCCACAACATGGCTAAAGTTGTAACACACCCACAAATAGATTCATACTTTGTTGTCTAATTTGCATGCACGAGTACAGCATATTTTCCATGCCACTAGTACATATATGCCTTTTAAAAGTCAGTGCAGGATCTGTATTTTAAAATTCTGCTCTCTTACATTTTAACATAATTTATCTTAGAGAGCCTTCAGGTGACAGGTGTTTTTGGTCACCTTTACATTCTTAATATCATTTCTAGATAATAATTATGCCAATCAGGATTTCCAGCATTACATAAGAGTCTTCTAGTTAGTTATTTTAATGTCAGTTAGTTGGACATGAGTGAACCTGACTAAACATATTTTTTTTGGTGTGAAGAATTTAAAATTGATAACCTTTAATGTGGCTGCTTAGACAAAACTCACAAGACAAAAAAAAAGATAGTATCCAAAAAAGTTGGTCTTTTCAGCTTTCCAAAATGAGTGGTTCTCTACCCTGGTTCTCTGCACCGAACACTGACAGCCTTACCACTATTCTCACTGATGCTGAGTGTGTTCAAGAACAGCATTCAGCATTGAATGGCAAAATGTTTGGAGCTGAAAAGGGACCAAAAGAAACTGTAACAGGGAATGAAGATGGGAATGGAAAACAAGTTCTCAGAGCATCTCTCTCTGTTAACAAGCATGTAGAGTCTTTATTACTAAAATATGCAGAATCCCCGTGGGAATTGCTTATTTGCCCGTAATTCTTTCCTCGTCAGTCTTTCTCTGCTGCTTGAATTGCCTTGGTGAGGGTGAGGTTGAGCCACCCAGAGACCACTCAAAAGCTGGTCTCAAGAGCGGCATTCTTCGCAGTGACAGGAGAGGATGTACCGGTAGGTAGCTGTGAGTCGCATGCCTCCCGAGCAGCGCAGCCGTAGTGCCTTCAGCTTGGAGGTCTGGGGCCGGCAGCAGTAACAGGAGGAGCGGAAGGGCTGCTTGAGGATACTGCTGAATGACACCATGGGTTCAGAGCGTGACGCCTGACTGCAGTGCCCCTCACACTTGGCCAGGAGCACCATCTGGGGAGAGAAGAAAAGTGGTTACCCTGGAGCCAAGCTCCAACCACACTATCCTTTAAAAGATCCCAACACTTCCTGTCAAGTCCTGCTGGATCAGACCAGTGACTCTGAGTCCTCAGTGCACTGAGAATCACCTGACAAGCTTTTTTTTGAAAACAAAAAACAAAAAACAAAAAAACCCTCAACACCCAGGCCCCATTTTAAGACAGATTGAATTAAAAATCCTCTTGGAATAGAGCCTGGGTTTTTGCAGTTTTCAAAGCTTCTGAGGGAATCTAATGTGAGTTCAGAACCACTGAATGAGGTCCAACAGTATGACAAATAAAAAGCAAAGAAGAAATTTTCCTCTGACAGGTGGCAGTCTACCACTGGCTTAATGCCAGTTAGAGCAATCTCAAAATGTAGGAAATCAGTCCAAGTTGAAATCAGGTAGTAAGCAATGACATAGAGAAAAAAAATGTCAAATAATAAAATAAAGTGTGCAATAAAAATACAAATATAAAAATACTTTAAATGTTCTATGTGAAGGGAATTTCCAAGGAAACTATGGTTTCTTTACTTTTGGGATTGTTGTTTTTGGTCACAACCAGCAGTGCTCAGGACTTACTACTGGCTCTGTGCTCAGGGATGACTCCTGGCAGGGTTTGGGTACCATATGTGGTGCCAGGGATCAAAAGGATTATGGTTTCTGAAGAAGAAAAAGAGGAAACTATGAATGATGCACAGAAAGAAATATTCTGGGACCTACAAGTTAAGACAAGAGAAAGAAATAGAAATACTTTTAGAAAAAGAAACTGCATTTGGGGCACTTCTGGTTTAATATATTAAGGAGTATTATAGGATTGGTGCAATTGATCCTCAGAGTCATTTAGGATCAAATGACTCTGATTTATATTAAAGGATTTATATATTTATATATATTTATATTTATATTAAAGGATTTATATATTAATATATATATTAAAATCATTTATATTAAAGGATTGGTGCAATTGATCCTCAGAGTCATTTAGGATCAAATATTATTATGTATTCATTTCTACCAGCTCCATATCTAAAAGTAGTTGTGCGTGATAATAAAGCTTCGTCTGAATTCTTTATTGTGGTTTTTTAATGTGGCTTTTTAAAACAGATTCCTTTAAGATTTCTATGCAAATTAACAAGTTATCTCCAAAACAGTAGGTATAAACACACACAAAGACTTATATATTTGGCATAAATCTTAAGGAGATGAGTCATAAACTCATTTCTGTGTGCTACACATAAATTATGGTATTCTCAGAACAACAGTCATAGATGGGATAGAGGAGTAACTTGATGGAACACAGGGACAGGAAGGAAACCAGGATAATTAACCCATATGTGTCCATGTCTCTGTGAGAGGTTCTTGCTTTGGAAATTACATATCATGCAATGGAAAAACAAGTTTCCCTATTTTCCAGAATCAACAGCAGAACATAGAAAAACAGAACTATTCAACAATAGATTAAAGGACATATGTCTGCACAATATCGTGTGACATTTACTTTGTGATATTTTATAAAAATCTCACCAACTATTATCTCTCTAACATGATCTTATAGGAGAGAATTAAATCCCCAGGGATTTAAAGGAGGAACCGGCCTGCTTATCTTTCCAAAAGGAAGAGAAAATGGCTCCTGGTAATTATAGATCATTAACATCATTATCTACAATGATGCTGGGATGAGTCCAACAATCTCTTAGCAACCACCAAAGAATATAGGAACTAGGGCTTGGTGAAAATAAGTTGGAGTAGTCCAACTGATTTTTTTTCACAAAACGAGAAAATGACAGCCATGAGCTGTTAAGGTTTTATTAAAGCTTAGACTCTTTTCTGTATGCTCTTCATATTGATAGGCAAAACAAAAGTGAATTGAAGTTTTTACCTTAGGTAGGAATACATAGGTCAGTCACTAGTGCCCACATCTATCTGATAAGAGTCCAAATCATCTTCAGTCCCTTCTCTCCACTAAAATCAGTAAATGGAAAAACACCTTGAAGTAATGTTAAGTTAAACTCCTTTGTATCTAATGTGAATTATCAGATAGTGGCATTGGGCAGTCATTCAAAGCATTACTCCAAAAATGGAGTCTTTAGAAATCCAACTTCAATGTGGGTGTCTGTTGTAAAAAATGAGTGGGATGTTTTATACCCAAATAATATGCATAGGGGTTAATTATATACCTGGGAGAACAGAATTAGCACAATCCACAAAGTGATCAACTCAGTTATGTATTTGTAAAAAAAAAAAAGAATTATGCTGGAGTGATAGCACAGCGGGTAGGTCGTTTGCCTTGCATGCGGCCAACACGGCCAACCCGAGTTCGGTTTATCCGCCCCTCTGGGAGAGCCCGGCAAAGTATCTCTGAGAGGGGCGTATCTCCCCTGCACTGCAAAGCCTGGCAAGCTATCCATGATGTACTCGATATGCTAAACACAGTAACAAGTCTCACAATGTTACTGGGCCCACTCGAGCAAATCAATGAACAACGGGAGGACCTTGACAGTGACAATGATAAATATTTCACTTAGTTTTTAGGATCTCAAGCTCCACCTTCAGTTCATTCTGAAGAACAACTCAATCAACACAGAAGATATTGGGGCCACTTTTATCTAGCCCCTCATTCTCAGAAAATGGAATTTCTGGGCTATCTCACAGATGTAGACAAACACCTTCAGAGACTATCTCCAGCTTTCAGGATAAAATCCAAAATCCTGAAATTTGAGACATTGAGTCTCCTTGACCTAGATTTCACATATCTTCGCAGTCTTTCTTACAACTATTCTCATTCTCATCACCCACTCCCTGCTCCAGTCAAGCTTAATTATTTTAGGACTGCCCACTGAACTGCTCTGACTTTCTCTACTAAAGTATTTTAGGAATGTCCTTTTACCTAGCTCTGCTTAATGAAATCCCAACAGCTATCACCCATTTAAAATTCAAATGTCCTCTTTTTTTTGAAGAAATAAACTTTGAAACAAGTTGGGGCCCATGATGTTCTCATCACACATATACAAATTCGTTGTCTGGGAGATTCACAGTTTCTATCTCAAAATAATAAACAATGCCAAAATCTAGCTTTTGTGTGTGGAGGCAGGGTGTGGGTGGATTAACAAGAGATTTGTAATACAAGACCCATAAATGTGTGCTTTAAGAAAGGGGCATAAATCTGCTAAAAATCTGTCAATGTGCAATTGTGGATGAATAGTTCTGGGGTGGCATCAGAGATTCTGCATTTTTCATAAAATTAATGTTTATTCTATACTGCTAAACTAAAGCACACATTTTGAGTAACAGGCTCTGGATCTATAGAAGTCTGAAAGATTCTGATCTAGATGCATTACTAGATAGCAATCATTTAGCTATCAATAACAATGGCAACTAAAATTTATTGAATACCTGCAACATTTTATCTAATATCATCTCAAAACCATCCTGTAAGAAAGGCTTCATTATCACCTGCTGTATGAAGATGAACAAACTGAGACTTTAGAGAGTTTAAACAACTTGCTCAAAATCACATAACTAGTAGAGGCAACAATAAAATGAAACTCAGATATTTCTTAAACCAAACCCCTGATCTAAACCACTATAAAACCTTGCATCCAGATAGAGGTTTTCCTGGGGCATGAATCAACTCATACCCTGCTTTATTCCTCTTTGATTTCTTCTAGGAACACTAATCACATTCTAATCAGAGACATTCAGGTATGATCCTTATCTTGTGGCATCTAGGAACACATCATCACCACTTCCATACACACAACAAAATCTTCTAATATTTATGACTTGTCTAATATTTCTTCCACAATCAAAATACATGCCTAATTCTTCCCTCATTTGATTTGTGATTGTCAACAATTTAGGTACCACAACGTTTTTCAATTCAATGAGCTTTTGACATCTTGACCCAGTTTCTGGTTGAAGACCATTCCTCAAGGCTGGGTGATATGTCTGCTGTGTTTGATATCATAGTATTTTGCACTTAACTGCTCTTTGTAGACAGCATGCACACCATTACATTATCAAATAAAAAGATTAACTTCCTTTGACAGGGAATACACCATTAGAGGAGTAAGTCCAATGGCTGATATTGCTCATATGCCTTTATATGGACTTTTCATAATTCAGATAGGAGACAGATACATACTATTAATTTTTCATCCAGTTAAATTTTTCTATAGAAGGTTACCAAAAATTGTTCTGAGATTAAGAAACTACACAATTCCTCAAGTTCCTCTCTCTTAACTCCCATCCTCATAGTCACTTGTCTCCAAGCCAATTTCTTCTAATATGAAATGTGCTTCTAGGTTCATTTTTTGCTCAGTGATTAATTATTTTGTATTTTAGTCTTATTCTCACATGCTAATTCTAATAACAATAAGAAGAAGAATTTAAAAATATGATGATATGTAACTTTGGTTGAACATTTACAAGTCCCAGGCACTGTACTAGATCATTCATTTTCAACTTAATTCTTAACACCCACTTCAAAAGGGAAGTTAAGTTAAGTTAAGCTCATTAAGCTGTCATGTTGGTCATTGGCCAGTTTAGGCTACACTGGGAGGACTGTTGCCAGCTGGGATTTCTGGGTCCAGACCAAGGACTGCACCCGAAGAACTCCATCCCCGGCTCTCTATGATGATCTACCACAGTTCTTAGAAAGTTATGTCTTTTACTGCCATTCATAACTTTCTTCTGAGTGAAAGCCTAAACACAGATGGTTTTCATCACCCCTTGTTGAAAGATTATCACCATAACTTTTCTCTCATCTCATGTGGAGCTCCCATGAATTCTTGGTTGAGGCCATGGCTAACTAGACGTCTTTTTCAGTAGAAGATTAAAGAACTAGTTCTTACATTCAAGAAGAGTTTAGCAGTGAAGACTGGGCACACCTTATTCAATGAAATCACTTGAAGAATCAGAACCGTTGCTCTGAGAACCTACAAAGGGTCTGTATTAAGCCGAAGGCATGAAA